CAGGATAATCAAAGTGACTATCGTCGCATTACTTATAGTTCAGAATGTGTGCACCTGTTCTTCTCCAGTCAATAGTTTTGTCCGAATTATAGACCACCGGAGAGGCTTCGTTTGCAGACTGATTTAATTCAGACCGCCGGGGGTGTCGCGTTTGCCTACTGTATTATTTCTAACCGTTCACCATATTCATCGAGATTTCAAAAGAGAAGTCTTTATCGTGACTAAAATCTAAGAGCAGTCTGTTAAAGAGTCAATTATACGTTTTTCCATCAAAGTGCAATATGAGCGAGACCATTTTTAGTAATGTTGTTCAATGCTGTATGTTGGTGAATATATTGGACTATGATTTATCATAACATGAAAACGTATTCATTCGATAAAATAATGAAATCCCATATACGCATGTGCGCCGGTTGATATGGTACGTACAATAAAATGTATTGCACATGCGTATTAGTATGTTTGATTTTTAATCTAACGAGTACTGCTATATGTCTTTTAAACGCAACAATTATAAGTTAAGATAAATCATAGTCCGATATGTTCTACAATATCGAACAACAAAATTAATATATTTTCGTCCATATTGCATTTTTAAATGAAAAACCAATATTTTTGCAAAATAAGAACAAACGGACGAGTATTTTAAAACTCTCACAAATAGCGCCATCTTCGACGAAAATTATGAAAACTTATTTAGGAAGAAGCTGATGATCATTTGATTTGGCGTATTGGGCAAAAGTGTTTATGTCACTGTATGAAAACTCGCCAGAGGTCACCACTGTATATTCAGATTTTACTAATTCTCTGATTTTCGACGTTTGTGTCAGTGTTTATGACCCAGATTCCTTTAAAAGCAATAAATGCTTTAATGTACATTGTATCGAACGTATATTGCTTATCACTTTTTAGATTATCCAAGGCAAATGTCAAGACAATCTTAAATCCACTGTGACATCATATTAACCGCGACGTACTCTCAGGTCATCGGTGAGCAGTCAACCACAGCCTAAAGATACCATTACTACTACGAAAACATATGGCCGGCGGGCATTTTCAATTCTTGCCCCAGTCTTATGGAACGATCTTCCTCCGTCATTACATTCTTGCTCATCAACAGCAACTTTTAAGAGTCATTAAAAAACATTGTGTACAGCGCTCTTAGACGCAGTGTAGTGCGCTATAATAATAATGCACCAAATATATTTGCTTCGAACTATAATATCATTTCACTTCAATCGAATCAGCTATAGTCACAAATATTTTCGATAATTTTGTATAAAAGTACAATACATTGAGTAATTACATTGAGTAATGTGGAAAATAATCGGAAATGGCGGTAATCGACTACTTAAGTCACCGACTACCACCCAAGTTGGCTCGGTAAGTTCAATACCAATATCATATTAAGTTTGACTTGGGCCAACAATAAACTATCGAAGAAACTACACTCACTCGTCTTTCCCTCTTATTGAATACGTTCAACCAAATGGTTGGCATGATTCGCCGGAGTTTTCAGTTTATAGACGGGAAGGATATTGCTTGAACATGGGAATAGTATTTGGCATTCCCGTTTATAGAATTGTTATCCCTTAGAAGTTTTTACCTATATAAACACATTGTTTCCGCTCTATCTTTGAACTGCTTCAAATCTAGGCTGGATGCCTACTGAAAAGATGATTCTAACTGATTGGTGAACTGTAAATCATCCCCACACTTAGTGAAAAATTAGTTCAAGATTAGAAAAGCTCGACTATAGACCTAGTCATCTCATAGCCTTAATCAGACAACGCCCTATTACTAACACTTCATTATCGTCAAAATATAGAGGTTTCAATTCGAGATTGATTTCATATATTACGATCCAATATTCACTCTATTTTACATATTTCTGATAGAAATTTATTAAAAACCAACAAATACCAGTGGAGAAAAGAAACAACACAACATTTATCCTAACTACATCTTCCGAGAATCCATATCAAAATGATTGACCAGTCTGAGGACAAGCTCCAATTCGAACTGAATATTATACCAATAGTACATGAAAATTATCCTAGCACACACTAAACAAAACACATACCGACAAGACGTGTTAATAGCAAGACTGTAGTGTGTTTCTCTTACAGATACAAAGCAATTGAATTGGCAAAAGTGTTTGATAATTCGAAACCCCAGGGGGAGTATAACTGTGCATTGTTCTTCAGTTAATTGTGAGATAGATTGGTTTCATCACTACAATATTGCTGAAGATTTATGGGGGGGGGGGCTTTTCTCTTTAGTTTGTGTGAGAATTATATTCATAAATATTCCCCCCCCCCTATGATTTTCCTGCAGATTCGTTTCTAACTTTCAAAGTGACAAAGGAAATTGCTATACGGCGGATTGTGTTGAGTCATATCGTGATATACATGTGTCTAATGTATCATGCAAATGTCACGTGACAATATATTGTGATAAACACACACGCAAAAACAAAATAATCGATATGTACAACGCACTTGGGGGGAAATGTATATAGCGCCACCAACCGACGATATGGCAACACTCTACTTGATCTTGTTTTTCATGGATTTTTGAATTATACTGTTTGTTACGTCACTATTATAGATTTCCATCTTGTTATTTATCATTGTTACCTGTGATGTACATGTATGTGGATACGACTGTTATAAATAGTGGGGTTGTTAGTTTGTGTGTAGTTTATATTATTGTATCGACATAGTGTCTCCAGTGAAATGTGGATACACGCAGTGGTATTTTCTTTCTCGGACACGTGACAGTAAACCTGTGTTAAATTAACTCGACTTCGATTTTCTACTTAATATGGACCGAGTAACGAATCGTGGTAGCTTTCCGTTTTCTTTAATATGTTATATGGTTTTCCGGATACCGACTACATCTGAAAGAAAGAATGGGCGCCCTCGTCATCACAACTATGCTACCACGCTGCAAGTTCATTAACGTTCTTAATAAAGTTGCGCTATCCGTGTCGCAGATTCTGTTTTAAATCATGATACATTTGTATTCATGTTCCGTTCTAACAATTGTGAACTATAGAGGGCGATATATATATATATATAAACCACCTGTTAACCACCACAAGTCAAAAATGTATTTCAGGGAGCAATCTTGAATAACCCGTTATTACTATGAATAATACATATGGATATTAATTATCCTGGAATGCTAAATAAGTGTTGTAATTGTATGATATACATTCGAAGTACGGATTGGTTGTTTTCTCGACAAGGACTGACTATAATTACGCCATGGACTTAACATCCCTGCCAAACACCGCGACTGGACGCCCCTGGACAAGTTCGATTCTATACAATAGTTGATTATCAACAACGGCATGTGGGTTTGGAATCGGCGTATCGGATGAAGACGATAACGATCGTGTTGTTCATGTTCTCAATGTATAGAAAACAAATGTCACCGGAAAGAAGCCAACCCTTTTCCCATGATCAGCGGATTTCCGCGAGGCGACAGTTCCTTTCTTCAAATATGTGACCACCTGTAAAGTCAAACACAAGCATGCTAATTTAGCTTCCACATAGAGATAACAGATGAAACAAACAAATTCCACAGCTTAAACCACGCAATATCTAAAATGAAAAACGCACTAAACCGGTGATGGGACGAGGGATGTACGATAATATTTTTTCCCTGATTTCGGATATATAACAATTTGTAATAAGTGTTCTACGCTATATAAATATTCATAGCCATATGGGCGAACCACTATCTCAAAGAAATATGTCACAGCAATCCACATATAAACAAAAACAATGCTTGAAAGCGTGTACGTTTTATATCGTGGGCAATTAAGTGAGTTCTTCCTGGAGGTTATGCTCAAGACTACGTTCACGGTTCGGAACAATCGGAATTCAGTTCACGGCCAGGGACATTCAGGATCAAATTCACGGCCGAAAAGATTTGGAAATAAAGTCCCGGTCTGGAACTTTTGGAATTAATTTCACGACCGGGAACATTCAGGATTAAGTTTACGACCTGGAATGATTTTCCACCACCTGTGACAGTGATTGATATAATCGTGTCGTTTCGATAATACCACGCTTTCATTCACTAAGACTGTATATAGTTTTGTCACTTCATATCAAAATAACAAACAACCCAGCCTAGATGCCCTCTCGACACATTCAGTGGCTCTCTTTTCAACACGGATCTACTTCAAACCCTTCACAATTCCAAGTCTATTGTAGATTCACTCTCTAGCTCTAAACAATTCCGCTTCTCCAGGCCTTTGTATTTCGTGATTTCTATAGAAATGTTGTCAAAGGGAAATGCCCCATTTTGCGTAAACGCCGCACCCGTACCGGGATTGTCCTGTGAGACAAGTAGTACTGCCGATTTGGAAAAATAAATCTTATTCTCAATAAATCTCATTCTTAAACTCACGTTTTCACGCTTTCCTGAACATACAGCTTATTTAACAGTCTCGGTGGGACGCCACCGAAATACCAATTTGCCTTATTGCACCACTGTTTTTGTTAGGCTATTTTGCCATGATTGATTATTGTGTGATATGTAAACGTTCCTTTTTGTTTGATAGCATCAACTCTGTTTCCAAAACTTTTACCATTTTCTTCGCGTTCATCGACGCGTAAAACCATTTAACAGTCTAATGACGTTTGAGCAAGGTCGGGGAAGCACAATAATTGTAAAAATATTTCACTCGCCCCCATTACAATCAATTTGCCGTCTTCACAGAAGATGTTCCGCATGATAAAACAACACCCACGGCGACATCTGCCAGCTGTGTCTGAGAATATTAATATTTTCATCTGACAAATCTACAGAGACCGAACCTTTATACAAACCTAATGTTCCCATTTATTTATTTCCGCACTGAAGAAAATGGCAAACAAGAAGCGAAAACACCTTTATGTAAATCAGCAGTAATATTCACTTACCTAAGGGGTCTCAATAATGGTACTGAATAGGATAATGTATGCTCCCGTTGTATCATTAGTCACTACGACCGCGTCGTGTGTCTCTGTCTTCAGTCATGGTCAGAAATCATATAAACGGGGGTTTCTGACTCATTTTTGCAGTTCTGAATGGAATCCCTCTGAAAGAATGCCGTTTCGTCCGGTTTTCTCATGTCGCTTCTCTTTCCGCTGACGAAATTATGAGTGTACGCCGTGATTTTGTGTATAGTCTGCCGGCGTGCCTTGGCCAACAGCGGGATTAAGTAGTCGCTACATGTATATGTGTTCGTTCACTGGTTACTTTCTTAAATGATTACAACTGACGGTAAGAGTGTGTCACACGTTTATCCTATTCTGGGCAGAACAGTCTCACGGCAGACGACACAATGGTGGAATTGAAGTGGGATATCTTTTATGTCGTGTGTATTTATATCATCTTAGTGGTAGCAGACAAACCAGCTCCTGTGATAAATACCAGTTACGGACAGGTTCGGGGAAAGCGGGTGATTTTGGACAACCCGGACCTCAGGGACGTTGACCAGTACCTCGGAATACCCTATGCAGCACCCCCCACAGACAGTCTGCGGTTTCGCGAACCTCTGTCACCGGTTCGGTGGCAGGGCATACGGAACTCCACCGTGTACGGCCCGGCATGTCCACAGAATTTAGAAATAACGGAAAATACTTCGCCATGGAGAAGGAAATATCTAGCTCGGGTTGTCCCGTACATGCAAAGTATATCAGAAGATTGCCTGTATTTGAATATATTCAAGCCAGTTAAAGGTAAACATTATATAGGGTGATTCCCTTTTCTTTGAGTGACAATGAAATGCTCGACAGAGACGCCGAGCAGAATCATAACCATGTGTTATAGGTTTAATTCGGTTCGTTTGATCAGTATTAGCCCCATCGGGATGAAGGGGATTTTTATGCGTCTGGCATTAAATTATTAAATTCAGTCAAACATATCTTGCAGTAAATCCCGCACACGTTTGGCTTGACATCGACTAGTAAGCCTGGGTCAGGGGTCAATTTCAACAACGCCAACACTACTGTAATTGATATGACAGTAACCTTGATATATCTATATATATTACGAATTGTCAATTGACAATCCGCCGGGAAAACCAACAAATAGCAAACGTGATACGTTTACTGTGACAACATTATTCGTGTGATGAATAGTACTTTCCCGATGCTAATGTCACGCAGCAGTTTGTATCGTTGCGGAACAACAATGCCGAGGTATCCGTGGTTGAAGCCATTGGGGTCATAACGCCATTATGCCCCTTTTCACGATGCACATCACATGTGATCTTAAACACATTATCTACCATTTTCAACATCAAATTGATGTGTGTTTGATCGCTAAATACACCATTCCCAAATAATACGTATGTATGACAAACACCAATATGTTAATATGGCGTTCGCTACTATTGATTCTCCTGTAGCGGATACATATGTGAGGGTTTAAAATATTTATACATTTCCATGGTTACGTTAGATGCTCACCAATATATGTTTGTAGTTGTTTGTGACCACAGAATTTCTTTATATTGTTGATATAATATGTGTGTTAACGCTTCGTTCCATTCCACTTAATTGCTCGCATGAATTCGTTTGCAAATTATTTATTTACTATTACCTTGCGCTCACCCTTATCGCCCTTATCGTTCTATACAATGCATGTATTTATTAATATTTCACTAGCCATTTCGCTATGAAATATTCACATACAACGATGCGGTGTGTGAATGGACAGGATTTTGTTCATAATCGATTTATTAAGATACAGTGTGTCTTCTAACGTTACTGATTCCCGAAATCAAGTTGAGCCAGAAAGAGAAAGAGTCAAGAAAAAAGGAAACATGCATGTGACTGTATTGGTTGTGATCCCCATTTCCCCCATGTTTATAATATGTGAATTTCATTTAACCAAATTACAAATTCTATAACTATAGCAAGATGTTTTTTTGTTTTTTGATCACTATAACAATATATGATTTTCTGTTACGTCAATGACACGCCTGTGAATTAGTACAACTAGTTGCGTCGCAGCAATTCTGTGCGTGTCAGTGGCGCGTCGTATCGGCTTAAAGGGCACACTACCTCAAATTAACCCCCTATATTTAATATTGATTTCCCCCGCATATAAATTATAGTGGTAGTGCTAAAATTAACTTACGAGGAAAAGGGTAATTTAATTCATGGTGATGGGGATAATTATTGCAAAAGAACACTGAGAAGCATGTGGCTAAACCCGAGGATGGGCACATATCCTTCGACTGTGTGACATTAACACTACTAACAGAATTAGCACGATTCTTGTACAATTCACGATTCAAAGTATTTACAAATATTCAAATCGGTTGGTATAATTAAAATAACCATTTTAGACTGGAAATATTATATTATATTAACAAACGACTGCAGGCTTATGATTCGAATCTCTGTCAATTTAATCTAAATCGAATGTGTAATATACAAATAGCAGTAAGTACAGCTTACATTGAAGAACAACAAACGACGAATGTTTCTTGCCCTCTGGCCCTAGTTTGACCCTAATTAACATAGAAAATTATTCTTGTCGCGCGCATATCTTTTGCACAGATGCAATTTCTTCTTTTCTTTTTTTTCTCTCATTGCCTCAAAGATATCTACATCATTTTCGTCACAGTCGACTCCAGGGACGTAGATCCTATGACGGTTAAAACTGAGTTCTGCATATCTTTCTATAATACGAACATACAGGCTATTTTTATTAATCATTTTGAGTGCCTTGAATTTAACGAGCACTTAATGAATATGAATAAACTAATGATTGAAGAATACCCATTTAATGGCGCCCTTCATACCGTGCAGCAGTGTACAACAGTGCCATATATCAAGGCCTGATACGTCCAAGTAGCTGCGAACAATACATATGTAATGCAATCCTTTAATACAGTATCGACACTAAGTCGTGGTAATGTTTCTAATGGTTTCTCAAGGATCGCCAACTATAGGGTCTTTTCTACGCAGTTTAGTACGGGTCATTAAATAATTAGTCTGAATAGGGGTAATCAATGGCTAGACACCTAAAATGAACTACGCCTTGGGAAATGCACCATTGAAGGACATCCCTGGGAACTCTCATTTATTATTCCATTATGAGAGTTTAAGAATACTTTTGTATATAAAAACTTGTCAATACAAATTGAAATATTAAAACACCAACACCCATGAGCAATATACTATAACGACGACTATGATACTGTACTTGTCTTCCAAGTGGAAGAACATATAACCAACAAGTACTAGTCAAATACAATAGTGTCGATGTGCTTTACACACACTCCAAATCATTATAACTTGTGTGACCTCACAATATATTCTAGAAATGACAGTACGTGCAATTCATCAACGGATGATCTCTGACTTTTTATATAACTCTTAATCCTATAGTTAAGCTACGTATTTTGTATATTGACGTTAATAATCAACAACAACATTATAAAATCAAACACACTTCGAACTTGTTTACAAAATATACCCATCGCCATGAGGCGATTTCAAGTCAATTGTCGCCCTAGTACAATTACACTGTTTACCCAGGTCTTTGCATTTTTCTGTCCAATTTCATTTACTATGACGACGCCGCATACCACCGACACTATCATGGAATGCCCTGGACAAATAAAGCAGAACTCCTCTTTGATTGGCATTTTTTTTTTCAGAATACTTTTCACTTGATGTGAAGTTTGTAAGTTGTACTTTTGATATTACAATATTACGTTTTGTCCACACCCGTCTTCGATAAAACTTTCTATACAGCCTGCAGTTTTAACAAGAACACAGAAGATACGATGCGCTCTTAATTCAACAGATTAACTCAGAACACTTAAATCTAAAAGAATATTTACCAAAGAGTGAATGCTGGGGTGAGACGGCGTCATGGCAGGCGCGGTGATTATACTATGTCTACATTTAGAAAATAATGTGAATGCTTTATTTAGATGCTATTAATGTAGGCGGAGGGCCTACAATGCTGGATTGCTTACGTGCACACTCTTTGATATTATCCTCTGAAGGATATAAGAAAACCATTTAACTTGAAATCAGAGCGAAGCGATGTCACAACATTCAACTACTACCCGATAAGCAATGTGCAATGGAATATTCGGTTTGAGTAACATCGTCTGGTTTGTACACTCAGTATAGCAGTTTTCGAACACATTAGCATGAAACGTCTGAATATGTTCACATAAATCTCAACTAATTTCAGTTATTTCGACGTTAAATGTATCTTTGACCGTTAGAAGTTATATGAAGATTTAAATTACAGGACTCGTAAATTTGCCGTCGAGACAGTATATCGAACAAAGTATTTTGAAATATTCATTATAATTGTAAAAATTGAGCAAACTATTTTATCCTCGAGTGTCTGAAAACTGCGACCGTCCAAAGCCTAGTGAATGCACACTACTATGAGGGGGAGATTCTTTTCTCTGGGGTTCTCCACACGTGCCAGGGGGGGGGATCTCGTCTCGTCTCTATATCTCGTCCCCTTCAGGTGCGGGATCGGGAAAGTCACTTAAGCTTTACAGTCAAATAAGACACACACAGCGAAATACGTTTCAACTCTCGTCTTAGTCGGACAGTCGAGTACTCTATAAGACACAGCGCCCTGGGGGAAATCCCCAAGACTATCGCAAGGCTGACCCAAGACTCGCCCAAGACTCTCCAGGACTGGACTCGACTGCGTCTGTCGTGCTGTACTCGCCAAGACCAACTAAAACAACTTTATTCATTTTCAAAACTCTAACCAATTACAATACAGTATTAAGACTCTAGGGCGTAACCTTCAATCATAAAGCCAATCACACTAAGTACTGGACACATCATATCTTTTGATTAATCGTTCACTACATTAACAACTACGGATACCAACTGTCAGAAATAGTAGTCCGAATAGCGACGGTTATCTCGTAATTAGTTTCAAATCACTGAGCCAAGTTCCATCCAAAACTTCAAATAAGCCTAAACGATGACAGACATAACACAGCAATTCGCTAATAATCAGCTAATTAAGTCGGACAACAGATACGCGTAAACTAATTCATGACACTACACTCTATTGCATCCTTAAATGTGCCAAAATTATCAATTTGTTGTTCCTTGGGCAAGGATGATGCCCCAGAGGTATATCATACCGTGATGTACTTACTATTAAAATGTAGAATACAGGCAACTCCATAAATCTCATCACATGTTATATTTATAACAGTTTCAGCGAAACTAGGTTAAGCCAGATTACTGAAAATGCATTAAACTGATCAAGCCAAAAGTTAATTTCCATGCGCGAGGAAGAACCGTGGCAGCAAAGACTAACTAAATTGGTATGACCAGGATGTAACTTCTAAATTGACCTCACTTGTGAGTTGTTAGTTCAGCATATATGGCAATAAATAATAAATGTAATTCACAAAACTAGGTTTATAGAAGAGTATCTAATCAGTACAGATTACGCTAGCATTTCAATGGGTGTGAGCGTACAATAAACCAATTACAGGTCATATTCCGATCACAGTTTTGTACTCATCATGACCACACCAGTCCATATGTGTATCATTTGGATGGCTCTGACGTAGTCACAGAAATTTGTGATATTTAATGAATGAATACGATTATTCAGAACTAAAGAAAACAAAAAGAATTAAAACTGATTTACCAATACCTACAAAATATCCTTTGTAATTACATCAGACATGAATGTTTCTATGTTACGTTTGAACCACAAG